AATAACCGATGGAGATCGATCTGTCATCGAGTGTGAAATTTATTTCTCGGACGTTGCTGTTCACGCTGTCGCATGGCTTTCATCGGCTGTATAAAAGAGAATGTGAAAGGTAGGATCGATCGAAAAGTAGCGATAGTTGCGCATCGGTCATCCTTCTCGATGATGAGATTGTTCACGCCGTCATTCTGTTCAGGACGATCTTATTATTCTATTGTTATTTTGAGATGATTCTTTAATCGTTTTATAGCAGTGATATTCATTTTTTCAGATAAAAAAACTTTACAATATTATGTTCTTTTCTATAAATTTTATAAAATTATACTAACGTTAAAACATATATTAAAATTACTTTTTTAAAACTAGTATTGAACTGTTTGTTAATTCTGTCAGATTATTCGCAAAGAAAAGAACAGTTATACTTTTAAGTGGAAGGTGAATGAGGGAAAAGTGCAAATTTTAAGCTAGATAATGAAGCTGAAGTATGTTAATTAAGGATTAAAGAATTAGTGAGGATAAAGAACTAAGAAGCGTTAAAAATTAAAATTTGTTCTTTATGCGCAATTATATTTGGACGCAGCGTAAGAAACGTCAGCATTTATATTAAATTTTATTACATATTATGCGTTGACGTTTTTTTCTTATTATTTGACAGTTTATGTATTTCGTATATAATTTACATTTGTACAACAATGACAAATCTTCTAGTTTTTCACCGCAATGTCAGTGTTTCAAAGTTTCTCGAAGTTTCTTTTTAGATAATGAAGCTAACTAAGCTTGTTATCGCGTATTAGAATTATTTAATTATAGTGTTGCAGGTTGATTGAATATTCGATTGGTTTTTTTTCTATTTACATTACACAAAGTGTTGCGATGTCTGGCGTAAGCAAATCTGGCGTGACAACCAACAATTTACTTACGTAACATGTAAACTCCACGCACGCACGCATGTATACACACATTTATGCAGATATTTACATCGAAATTATCAGTTGATAATGAAAATTATCAGCTAGCTGTGGTACAATGAGATATACGAGACGAGCGTTGTCGCGCGAGTTAAAATTTAGAAATATTAGCACGTGTCCAGTTTAATAAATAAATGCGCGACTTCTAAATCGCGAATGACAAAAAAAAAAACAGAAAAAGAGATGCAAGAGAAAACATAAGAGACGAGAACAAAAAATCGCTGAATCGATTTGATTCGATCCAGAAATGGATCTAGTCTATATAATAGTTACTTATTTAATTTAGTGGTTACGATGAATGGCTTTTTTATAAATCATACAAATCAATAATAAATTATTAAAAGAGTGCGGCCAGGCGCTCATAGACGCCCCTATTTCATGCCTTAAATATTCCAATAAGTGATACATAGAATTGAAGCTTATAATGAGTAGAATGAGAATCCAAAAGGTTGCAATCTCAATAGATGGCCAAACTAGCGTGTGGCGTGTACTTGGTACGTTATCTGCTCGACTGGGGTTTGCTCGACTCAAGTTCAAGTTTATTCAAACAGCAACTTGAATCATCCATCTACAATTTTTGCTTTTATTTAACGTTTATAATTAAAATAGAATATTTTGGATTTACTTGGCCATCTATTAAGATTGCAATCTTTTGGACCGTTTTTCTCCCAAACGGCTGAGAGGATAATATCGAGACTTCAGATTCTTATTCTACTCGTCCTAAGCTCCAGTTTTATGTATCACTTATTGGAATATTTAAAGTACGAAAATTTCACTGGAAAAGAGGCGGAACTTGGCCGCACTCTTTGGTACAACTTTAGGCGTTAAAGCTTGCACATGGAATGAACACATAAGTTGCATGAAATTTTGATAAATCGAGACGTGCGCATCATGTCTAGATATTCATCCATCGTGGCTCTTGGTCATAATATTTTGAACTACATTTTTATTAATTAATTTATTTATTGCATGAGATATTGTTAATATTTTAGTTTTATATTTAATCTTCACGTATATCAAACGCAAATGTCAAAATTATCAAATACAATGCGGAATTACGAATGCATGAATATCTATTGTAGATATGATGCTCACGCCTCAAATTGTGTATTAAAGCATTATTGATTCTATGTATACATATTGTATATGTATGTGTACATATTATATATACTAGGTGCGCAACTAAGTTTCCGGGTTTTACACATGGATGGCGCTAACGATACATGTAGTCGATATACATGTCTAAAGTTGTTGTTTTTTTATTAACTTGGACATCTGTCAACAATAACCAGTCATAATACCAACAGATATCGCAACGCAAAAATATTTTTTCTAAACTAAGAAAGATGTCGAGTTTTGTGACCAAATAAACAGCATTTGCGGGAAGCTTTG